CTGGGCGCGGTCGACCCACACGTTGGTGTGCTCCTGGAGCTGCTCCAACTCAGTCTGGCTGAGGTGCGACACCTGCAGGGCAACATCCTTCCACTCTTGCACTGTGGTGGTCAGGGCCTTTTTCCCGAAGACTTCATGCTGCTTGGCTTCTGTCAGGCTATGGACCATGGAACGAAAGCCAGCAAGGCATTTCTCCGCCTCTGGAGGGTCCCTGCCTGAGCGTGTCAAGGCAACGCCTCGAGCCAGCAGTGTGGAAGCGATCCCCCACCATTCTGCTACAGGGTCGCACATGTGAGGTCGACCTGGCGCTGGGCGCATCTTCCTCCATGAAATTGAATATCCTTGCCCTCTGCCGAAAAACACAGCGGGGTCCTCCACATCGCTGACCGCCACAATAGCCCGCTCCAAAGTAGTGACCCATCGCCCGTATCTATCATCCAAGGTGGAGCGTTGAGCAGGCCTCCAGGTCGACAGGGGGCCTGTCGACAACTGTGCTGCTGCTGTACGTGGTCTGAAGGTATCCTGCTCCACTTCGCCATAGATCTTGAGCCATTCTGCCTGCTCCACCTTGAACGCGACTTTGGGGCCTTCTGGCTGTGGCTCCTGAGAAGGCAGGCCATCGAAATCCTCTCGTAGCTCTTCAGGAAGTTCCTGTCTGCGTGCATCTGCCACCTGCTTGCGTTTCAGGGATCGCTTGCTGTCTGGGTTTGGCTCCTGCTGGGGGCGGTTGGCCCTGGGTAGCGGTTCAGGAAGCTCCAACGACCTATGCCACCAAGTCCGCTTGGCGTCCAGCACGTCAATGGCAATGGCGCAGTGAGTCTTCCAAGGTACCGCTACTACCTGCCTGAGCCTGATGCGGTCCGAAGTAAGCTGCTTAGAGACAATAGCATAATCATACATTCGTCCCTGGCCCTTGTCGCACGTGAACTTGCAGTTCGGAAGCGCAATCCGACCTCTGAGTCTGTCCACCCATCCACTATCCAACAGGGTCTGCGGTTCATTGTTCCAGCCCGCCACAATCGCCCAAGGATCTGCCAGAGCTTTGGTAAAAGCGCCCAAAGCCACCAACACCTCATTGTTGTACTGCGAAATCCCCAGTGACGGTAGCAAGTACGCTGCAATGTATACAAGGTTGCCTGACTTGAGATGCAGCGTCGTGGCCGAGAAGCCTTTGAAGGGATCCATGCGCGAGTCGGCAATCGCCTGGTCCCTCAATCGATCGAACTGCGTAGCTGCCAAGTGACAGCGCGTGAGAAGCCACTCACCTGCAGAGATGCCTGAGTCCGACCTCCCAGAAGCAAAGCCTGCCTTGAAAGAGAGCCTCCACCCGTCCTTCCTGAGCTCCTCGGTCCAGTGGGCGCACTTGGTGTCGGGGACATGCGTCTCGACCAGCCCGACGATGGCATAGGTGTGTTTGTGACTGTTCACAAAGCTGCGAACCTTGGCGCCCCATTCTGTGATGTTCGCGAAGAGCATCGTCACATGCTTGTCGGACGTACGGTGCTGCAGTACTGCTGGCTCTTCGTGTGTGGGCGCATTGTCACGAGCGTGGGTCTGTCTGCCACGTTGCGTTCCTGACACCACATTACAGTCCCGAGGAAGGGCGGTATCCAGCAAAGGCAGACTCGACGAGGAGTTCCCCGAGACACCCAAGAGCGCAGCCTCAGGGCCTCCAAGAGAAACCTCCCGAGACGGGGCAGGGCTGGAGCCTATGGCGTCAGGCCTGCATCCTATGTTAGACTCCACCGTACAGAGCTCCCCCTCGTTCCCGAACTGGTCATCGAGGTTGGCGAAGGGGTCAGCATCAGGATCGTCCAAGTCATCACACCGAACTCGACCTCCGTCCGCAGGCAGAGGAGCAAACCGATGACCGTCAGGAGCCTCAGAAGCCTGATGTTGCATGGCATGTGGAATCGTACTATGATTGGCCTGTCCCAGACTGGTCTCCGCATCCGCCAACATCACCAGGTGAGCAATGCAAGCATCAACGTCCGCCAGATCATCCTCAGGGTCAGGCTGTCTGGGGCGAGGAAGCCGCACCGTAGGGAAAGCCGAGCCCAAAAGCCTCCTGAACATGGCTCTCAGCTCATCCAAGCGCTCCCAGTGGCGTCGCTGCAGCAGAACACGCCTCTCAATGGGCGCCGTACGTAGCCGATCAAGGAAAGCCTCTCGCCTGGGCTCAGACTGCCCCCATGCCAACTCACATAATTCTTCCATGACTGATTGTAAGGTGCGGCCTGGAAACCATGCCTGCAACAAGCGGCGCAAGGGCTCGTTCCCTTGTCGCTCCAGGATCGCGCGCAGAAACGCCTCGCACCAAAGTCGCCAGTCACCACTGCCAGCGTTCAGCCCAAGATGTACGTCAAACCAAGCCGCTGCCCAATCTCTGAGGTCAGCTCGCATATCTGCATAGTCCTGTACTGCCATCGCTCTGGTCTCGTCAGCAGGCGGCAGGCCCATGGCCTGTGGTGCGTCGGTTGCCGTCACGACTTCACCAATGCTGCCTGCCTCACAAGATGGGCGAGTCCAGCAAACTCCTGAGCTCCCACCCACACGCGCTGAGACCCCCGCCTCCTGTGGAGAGGGTGCCCTGGCGGGTGGAAAGCCCAGGTGCGACTGTGAACCTGCACTGCTCTGGGCAGCCCAGGATTTGCGCTCTGACGCCTGAAATCCTCCAGCTGGTTGAGGGACTGACCGCATGGAGGGCGATGCCTCAGGAAGGACGTGGCTCCACAGAGTACCCGTGGCGCCAGTGGCGCCCGACTGACTCGCCCACGTCAAAGCCGTACTGCTCGCAGTCCCAGACGGCATAGAACACGGTGTACACGTCGAAGGGGTCCCCGTCATCTCAACCGATATCGAAAGTGGGGCCCACTGCATCTTAACGCGAACCTTCCGAATTGTGTCCAGCGCTTCGTAGTAGAACTTGTCAGACCGCATAGCTCGACCAGAGGGAGCACATGCATGAGCAAGAACGTGGTATGCACATCCAAATGGAATGTCCGTGCCTGGGTAACATTGGAATGGCGGCGTGCGCGTGATGAGCTTGAGCACCCCAGCTGACACAGAAGTCCCTGAATCAGGTAGCTGCTGGGCACTCGCTGTTGGGCCCCCCCCTGCGCTCGAACTTGGCCAATCTATCTCGCACTGAGGCAAACTGTGCCTGTTGATCTGGTCGGGAGCCGTGTCCCTCTGCAGCTTGGCCAAGGGCTCCGAAGTGGTCTCTGCACCATCACCACCCGCACTAGCTGACTCTGGCTGGGAACCCTCTGCGCCTCCTGGCTTGGGCTGGGGTTCATCTTCAGCATCCTGCACCCGACGACGTTTGGCCAGTAGCCGCATCTTCTGTGATTCATGCTCCTGGACCACTCGCTTGGCCTCGTCCAGAGCTGAGGCGAAAAGATCCTTGGCCTTCGTGGAAAGGAGCTCCCGCAACTGTGTGGTACGTTCTTCGATCCGTAGGCGATCGTCCTCATCCAGCTCCAATCCATCAGGCATGTCTGACAGGAGGCCCAGATCGAAGTCCAGGGTACCCACCTTGCCAGACACGAGGTCCTCCAGCTTGATCCTCGCAGGCGCTGGTCCTGGTTCAGGTGCAGCAGATTTGCCTGTGGCAGCGAGCTTGCGGGCGAGCTCCGCATGTTGGGTGTCCATGATCTCCAACTCTGCACGAAGGCCCATGATGTAGTCCTCGTGCTCCTGCAGCTGGGCCTTCCACTTGTCATGCTTGTCCAGCTCACGAGAGAGCCGCTGAAGGAGCTTGTCACATTCACGTCGTGATTCTGCCAGTCGCTGCTCCATGGTCTTCTCGATGACAGGGGGGGCAGGCTTTGCCAGGATGTTGATGCGCGCCTGAACCCGCGTGGCCAAGTTCTTGTCACCCGTCTTGTTGGCGATGGCCAGCAGAGAACCCAGCTCAGTAGCATCCAGGCCATCGAGGCTCGTCCAAGCCAACGCTGGCGTGGAGGAGTTCGGACCTGGCTGGAGGCCGGCAGCCAGCGGCAGCCGGTGCTCTGAACTCTGACGGCTGTCATTCCACGAGTTGTCTGATCCTGACCACGACCTGCCTGCCCGAGACGGCCAGTGCTGTGGCTGGGTCCATCCTGGCTCAGGTGTGCGAAATGAGAAACAATGTTTGCACCACTGCCATCTTTCTTCGTTGCGTGCACATCCGCAATGACCGCATCGCCACGAGGGCCCTGAGACAGGGGGCTTGTGTAGCTTGCGTCGCACAACAGTGGCCTTCTTATTCGTCGACCCGTCCGCACGCCACGGGGCTGAGCGCAACTCATCCGTTCCCATCGGCGTGCCGTGGCAGGCAAGAAAAGAAGGTACGTTAGTATGCCTGGCAAGCCAGGAGAGCAGTTGGGGCCGCGTGCACCTGAGAGGTGCCCCCTTGCCAGAATGCTCACGTCCGCTGTTGACGCTCGGGCCACGCTACGGACTTGAGCCAACATGGCTACGGAGACCAGGAACAGGAGCGGGGAGGAGCAAAAGCGAGAGAGAAAACGAAGAAGAAGTACGATGGGGACGCGGAGTGGCGCCGCACAAGTGGCCGAGTCCAATCTCGGCCGGTGCAGGAAAGGTGTGGGTGCGGACCGCGCGCCGCTACCCGTTCGGATGTTCCCCTCTGCTCTTCCCCATCATCCACCCTCCTCATCCACCCTCCTCCTCCACCCATCCTCCCTCATCCTTGCCCCCTCTTCATTCTACGCATTCTCTTGTCCGTCATGCACCTTCCGAACCTCCCCAGCCTTCTCTAGCCCCCTCCTCCACGGATGTCTCTAAAAGCCTCCAGCCTGTGGAAGATTTCCTACAGGCGCCTAACGTGAGAAAAGAGAAAGAGGGAGAGAGAGATTATCCATCCGATCCTCCTAATTCTCACCTCCTCCTCTCCTCCTGCCTCCCTCCTTCTCCTCCTGTCTAATCCCTCCTTTCCACTCCCTCGGCCCTCTCTGCCCATCCCTCCCTGCCCGTTCCCCCCCTCGCCCTGGCGCGACCTCGCGCTGCTGTTCCTCCAACTTATCCATGCCCTTGAGCTGCTCCTCCAACTCCACCAGCCTTCCGTTCAGATTAGCCGTCTCGACCAGCACCGGTCTGACAACCTGCCGGGGGCCACGAGGGACTGAGCAAGAAGGGAGGGACGAGAGGGGGCAACGAGACGGGAAGAAGCAATGGGAAGGAGAAAGCAAGAGGCGGAGGAATGCGGAGCAACATGAGGGAGATGAGAGGGAGTCGGGAGGATCAAGAGGATGACGAAGAGGGACGGGAAGGTATGGCTGAAGGAGGGAACAAATATTCATGACAAAAAAGATGATGAGGATGATCACGGGGAGGAGGAGGGGAAAAGGAAGAGTGAATGGAGGAGGAGAGCCGATTGGGTTCAGGCGTTCGCTTGAGCCACGGGCGTTGGTACTGCACCTGCGGTGCACAGACGAAGGCGTGTTGCTTGTTCATTGCGGCTGTTGCACATTTCGAGGGTGGAGGTGAGAGCTGCATCTTGGGAGGCAGCAGTGGCGGCGAAAACTAGTCAGTGTGATACACGGTGCCTCACGCTACCTTCGCGTGCACCAGCGGCGGCAGCCCTCACCATGCCCGTGCCAGGTGCAGCGACATGGCGTTTCAGCGGCACTGGAACATCGTTCCACGCGCGGGGGGGGCAGCGAGGTCCACCCCCGTCAGCTGCACCGCGCTCCCTACCTGCGGGGACCTGCTGCGCCAGAAGCGGAGCGGGCTTGGGGGGGGGCGCGCCGTGCCCCAGCTCACACCGTAAGATCAAACAGTGCGGCTCTTGGCCGCATCTGTGCCAGGGCCCACGGGCCGTCCACAGAAAGATCCTGGGACAAAAACAACTGGTCCTGGACAAGGCGCGGCGTAACAACAAAAAAACCCGTGGGGAGTTCTTGCTAGCGCACGGCTGCGGACCACATCGGGCGCATGCCCACCTCTCCATGGCCCCCCAGAGCCGCGTGGTGCTGGACCGCGCGGTGACCACAGCGCCCCCAACCGACCTCACCGCGCGGCCCGTCACCGCACCATGTTCTGGGACCCTGGAGGCCGCAGTCGCCCGAGAGGTCCTCGGAGAACGACCCGAGTCCCTAAACCGTACGGTGACCCCAAATCTCCACTAGAGGCCTTCCAGATAGGGTCCGAGTAGACGGTGCCAAAGGATCGCGCCGCTTCGCCGATGCGTCGTCGATGCATGGTCGACGCACCGGTAACGTCGATGCATGCGCATACGCGACGTCGGCGTCGAAAAATTCGGGCTCCTGCTTCCCTGTCGTCATTCCTCCCCCTTGCTTTCCGAGGCTTCCTGGCCTCGTGGTTTCTCTCTTTCTTTTTCTTTCGCTCTCTTTTTTTTTTTTCTCTCTCTCTCTCTCTTTCTCTCCGCTCGCGGGTGTTCCCCGCCCCCTCGTTGTCCACTCCTCCTGAGGTCCCCGCTTGTCCGCAAGGGGCGCTGGTACACTAGAAAGCGTGTGTCAAGTGATATATGCATGTACATCTATATGTATATTTATATAGCTCCTACATATATCGCACAACGTAATCTCAACAACCATATTTGCGCAACCTGCAGAGTGTACTTCGTCGGGTGCATCACATTGGTTGAGCACCACATAAAAACTGCCCCACATAAACTGCACAACGGAATCTGCACAACCAAGATTGCACAACCAGGCCTCTCGCGACGCATGCCGAAATAATTCGAAAGCCCTCGCACGCGTGATGGGGTGTACGATCCGTGCCCAATCATACCATGCATCCGCTCTCGCGCGTCGGCCGCGCACGCATGTCGAACTCTTTCCCAAACTTCCATCATTGACGCGAAGACATCGTCATCGTCGCCGGCGTGATCAGCATCGGCACCGTCACTGGCCGTGCCGTCTTCGATGTCAGCATCGCCACCAACATCGCTACTAGCATCATCGTGTCACCGTTGCCGACATTGACATGATACCGCGCCCGCCTACGCCGCCGACCCGCACTGGAGTCCCCGCTGGGATGTGCCGAACGGTTAGCGCCATCGCGGCCGCGTCGGTCGCGCCGAACTAGCTGGCTGCTCCGCGCGCGTGCATGCGGGGCCTCGCGCGGCCGCAGAGATGCACCAGCCAGCGCCAAGCACTCATCACCATCTCCGCCGCATGGGCTTTGCAAACCACGCTGCGGGCGGGGATGGTTGCGCGAGCAGTGGTGGACAACTCACTGCGAACAGAAATTCACTGAGCCACCGAGATGGCACCACATAGATTGCACCATATCGGTTACTCCACAACGATTGCCAAACACAGGTTGCACAACATACCTTACACCACCTAGATTGCACGTAAAGTGCCAAGTGCCCCACGTCGATGACACAACGTATACGGCTAGAAAATCACAGTGTGTGTGTGTGATACTATGACGACGACTGACTAAAACACGGCTGCCCATCTTATAAGGAAATATCCGACATACCAGGGACAGTTCTCAGAACCATCCTCGCTGCGCCGGCTCAGCCAGCCCATATCGAATGGCATTCGGCCCATTCCGTCACCGTGCCTGGGCGGTGGGCCTGAGGCCTCTTGGATGATCTTCAGGATCTCGTAGGCGCTTGTTGGAGGCCTCCTGGAGGTGGCCTTTTCGGTGGCTGTTTTGGGGCCTCGTCGGGCCTCGTTGGAGCATCTAGGGGGCCTCTTGGGCCCTTGTGGCTTCTTGGGAACTTTGTGGAGCCCCTTGGGCTTCCATAGTGCCTGTAACGGCGGAGTGCTCGGGTTCTCGGTGCGGGTGCCTCCTCTTGGGGACTTCTTAGGATCGTTCTCGGGCCATCCTGGGCCGTGCTGAGCAAATCTTGGGCCGTTTGGGAGGCCCCTTGGAGGTCTCTGACGCCGTCGTGCGGCGGTCTTGGGGGCATGTTGGCACTTCCCAGCAGCTCGCATGGAGCTATATATCGAATGTGCGAGATCATGTGTTATCAGCATGGCCAGCCATCGTTCGGGGGCAATTTTGGGAATCCGCTCACCATGGTTCACTGCAGGGGAAAAGTCGAGAAAGCAAGACGGCACCCGGTCGCTGTCGCTCACGTCGCCACTCCCGCCGCGCGGGCTCGTGGGTCCAGCGGCAGAGGCAGCGCCTGGAACAACTTTTCAGCTACGGCTCCTCTTGGTCCCGGGCTCACCGCAGGAGGAGCTCCGCGGATCCGAGGATGCCCAGAGCGAACAGAGGATACGCGAAGAGGCGAGGCTGGTCTTGATCGCAATCCACATGGCAATCATCTTGGCGTTCAGGTGAGCGACGGACGCAAGCACCGCGGCGGCTGGCTTGAGTCTAGCATCGTCCGAAGGCGAGGTCGACGTGCCCGGCGTCGGAGTTCCGCCAGCGCCAGTCCAGTATGTGCCCCATTGCCTGGTACAACTCGGCCATTCTACTCGCTTGTGCCATGTTGAGCTCGGCAACGCATGGAATTGACCTGGCACATGACTCCCGCCAAGTCGGTCCTCAGCGGCAGGAGCTGGGTGCCGACCACGTTGCCCATGGCAGCCAAACCCTCTGGGAAAAAAGGGGCTAGGCGACAGCGAAAGTGCAGCAAGTGCCCGCCCAGGCACGACACCTCGGACGGCCCCTTCGAGAGGGGCTGCCGACTCAAACGCGCCCCAGCGGCTTGAGCCAAAATACGGACGAGGAGGAGGAGGAGGAGTGGAGCGGAGTGGACGCCATGCCGATGTCATATCATACAACGACACGTAGTCAGTCCCTTAGCTCGCGGAGCCACGAGACGACACGGATGAGCACGCGCACGCACCGACTCCACCGAAAAACGCGACTGGCAAATCCAACCTCCCAGAACAAAACGACAGTGCAACATCACGGCCCAACGAGAAAATATTGCAAGCAGCCCAACACACACAGATCTATCTATACATATATATGGAAACCACCAACAAGCAACAGTATGAACGTTCACGGCCCACCACTTGGGGACAGCATTGACATAAGACTACGGATAAGCCCTTTTCACCTTTTTGCGCGCACCTCATATTCCTCGGCGCCTTTGGGCGCCCCTCTTTATTGGGCGCACCTCATGTTACTGGACGCGCCCCTTTATTAGACGCATCGCACGTGGGATACGTCTGCAGAGCGTGAAAAGATTGAATACCTCCGCCTGCGATGTACAACACATACGCGGGAAACCAAAACCATCGTACATCACAACACTCTGCATGATGAGCGGGAAAAATACGACCCAGAGAACAAAAGCACACAGCGGGCACAATGCGGCACTGTACCTGACACGCCAATGTGAGCCCAAGCTGACACGCTAGCCCACTACGGCATGATAGGCGACAGCATGCCAAGAGGACCGCGTGTTGCTCCAGCCAAAGACCTGCCTGCTGTCACAGTTCGCCCTTCTCGCCCAGCAGCGACTTTCCATTGTTCCTGTCTGCTCTTCCCGCACTTGCTGATCTGAGCATTGTAGCTGATGCCAGTCGGGCCAGGCTTCTGTCCCCACATCGCATTCGGCAACGGCTGAGCAGTCCAAATATGATCGCCTTTCTCGCATGCGCCAAAACCAGCACAAAAGAAAGTGGGATAGGGATGCGGTGCCCACAGCCACGCTCCCTGCTGCCACTGCCAGTCCTTCTCGCACGTACCGCGCGTGAACATTTCTCCGGATTCTCCTCGATTTAGCCAACCCGACAACCCAGGCTCGCAGGCCTGGGCGGCGGGTGCCACTCAGCGGGTGCCACTCATCGAAGAATACCCGAGGGCCTAACCGATGGGGCCCAAACCGCAACGCAAGCCCTCAAGCCGCATGTGCTTGAGTGAGGAGGAGGAGGAGGAGGAGCAGGAGGAGGAGGAGGAGGGAAGAGGAGGAGGAGGAGGAGGAGGAGGAGGAGGAGGAGGAGGAGGAGGAGGAGGAGGAGGAGGAGGAGGAGGAGGAGGAGGAGGAGGAGGAGGAGGAGGAGGAGGAGGAGGAGGGAGGGAGGAGGAGGAGGGAGGGAGGAGGAGGAGGAGGCGGAGGAGGAGGGAGGAAGAGGAGCAGGGGAGGACAACGACGACAGACGACCGACGACAGGGACAGCGCACCGCGACGGCGGCCGACGCACCGCTCGGGCGGCGGACGGATGGCGTCTCGAGAGCGCGGCGGGCCCGCCTGGAGGAGCGCGGTGCGCACCCGGACCTCCACGTCGGAGACCATGATCTGCGGCGGCGGCGGGGGGGGGAGGGCGCAAAGGGCACGGCTCGAGGGCAGGCAGGCGGCCTTCCTGAGCCCCAGGGGAGGAGGAGGAGGAGGAGGAGGGGGAGGAGGAGGAGGAGGAGGAGGAGGGGGAGGAGGAGGAGGGGGAGAGGAGGAGGAGGAGGAGGAGGAGGAGGGGAAGGAGGAGGGGAAGGACGAGGGGGAGGGGAGAGAGGAGGAGGAGGAGGAAGAAGAGGCGGGGAGGAGGGTGGAGGGCGAGGAAGACGAATGATGAGGGGAGAGGACACCCCAGGGCACAATCTACTGCCCAAGAAGTGGATGTGTGTACCATCGCATGCGCCAAATGATGACTGGCAACTCACAGGGGCCTGAGCTGGAACAAGGAGCGTGCGGATGTGGCACATCAGAGGCACCAATTCCGATCTTAGGCGACGCGGGCGGAAGACCCGAGTCGAGCCGTAGCAAAACGAAAAGACTTGGTTTCAATGTTGCATGGTGCCCAAATTTGAATCCAAGAGTCGAGGTACGAGCGTGGGCAGATGGGCCGGTGGCAGGAAGCCGAGAGGTGGTTGCCAGAGGAACGCCAAAGTTGCTATTACTAACATTGAATATAACACAAGGCTGGGGAAACACATACACTTCAGATCCCGAGTTCATTATGGCTGGATGGTATCAGCAATTGTACAACACGCCACGTGGAGAAGACGCAGAACTATGGGAATATATAAGACAGGTTGCCCAACGCAGTGGCTTTGCACAACAACTGACAACGCGGTTGGCAAAGTTGGGCAATTTTATTACGGACGAGCTGGCAGGAATGGCGGCGCTGCACCATCGGGTGCCCGCATTGGACTGGGTACTAGTTCACCATCACACTTGCTCGAGCGGAGGGCAGGGTTGGTGCGACTCCCCCCCCTCTCCGCGCCACGATGAACAGGAACAAAGTGAAGGCGCCTCCGCCACCTTCACCCCCTCCGACCCCTGCTGCTACTGCCTCCGCCATTCTCTCTAAGCAAAGACTGTCTGAATGTAAGCGTCACTGTTCGAAAGAACGGCACGCCACCATGAAAGAACGGCACGCCGCCACGGTAAGCCTGGCGACCATAAAGAACGGCAAGCCACCGGATGTCCGCGTCTCGTGAATGTAGATGGGGTTATCTGCTATCCATCCAGAGGAGAGCGCATCCATGTCAGGGGGGGGGGGGGCTGGCTGCATCTCCCTTACCTCCTTAACATGCATGCGTTTCTGTTTTGTTGGATTTGGGGGAGGGGGGGGGGGCGGCGGTGGCTGACAAGCAGCTGCGCTCGCTGGGGAAACCTTGCACCCAGACCCTCACCCACCAGGCAAAACGTATCTGTCTCGACCGTTACTCCTCGTCCTTCCTCCTCCTCCTCCTCCTCCTCCTCCTCCTCCTCCTCCTCCTCCTCCTCTTCCTCCCTTCCCCTCTGCGGGAGTCGGGGGCAAGTGTAGGTTCTGGTTTTTATCGCCCTGCGGTCGACTTCGGTCAACGGAGTTTCGGCCACGCTTGCAGGACAGCCTCATCTGCTTCCCTTCCCCTCTACCGGAGTCCGGGGCGATTGATTGCAGGTTTTGGATTTTATCGCCCTGCGATCGACTTCGGTCAACGGAGTTTCGGCCACGCTTGCAGGACAGCCTCATGAGCTGCTGCTGAAAGCTCTGGGCGACATTTCTGCACCGGCCTGGTGCGTTGCCTCTCGCGCATGCTCGTCCACGCGGAACCTGTGCTCGGCCCTCTGGAATGGCAGCGAATCTTTCCTCTTGCCCTCCCAGGGTGTGCATTGACCCGAAATTCGAAGTGAATCCCGCGGTGACGGCAGTGGCCTCGCAGGAGGCCCCGGAGAGGCGAAAACGAGGCAAGGGTAGCCGTGGGTCGGGCGTGCCCCCCTAACAGGCGGATTGTGGATGAACAAAAAGAGAAACAGAAAACAGGTATGGCTAACAAGAAGATCGGAAAATCGTCCTGGGAAGGGACACGCCCGGCTGAAGGGTAGCCGATGGGCCCTTCTCCGCGTCTGCCTCCCCGGCAGCGCGAGGCAGGCCCCGTGCAGCCAGCGCCCTGGGCTTGCTGCCGCCCGGGCCCTGCCTCCACGTGAGGCCCACCCGCACAGCAAGGGGGCAAGGCAAGGATGCATGGGCCTTGGAGGGCCATTCGAAGAGAAAGCAAGAAACATAAACATCAACGTTTGGCGCCCCGTGCGGACTTCTTGCATCTGCGCTGGGCCCCCCCTTCCTGGCGCTCGGAGCGCGCCAGGGGCGGCGCCAGAGGTGCCGCCGAGGGGGAGCCGAGCGCGGATCCAAGGAATCCGCGCGGAGCGCCACAGGTATATGTTCATGGCGTTTTTTCTTCTTCGAGCCATGTCGACCCATTTCGAGTGGGGCGCGACCAGCGAAAGCAGCCACGGATGGGCCGCAAGAGGAAGGATGCAAGGGTAACCTTAGAAAGCCGCTCGTCCGTACCATGCGGGTTGACTATACCAGCGAAGCGGTCAGGGTTCCTTATCCTCGAAGACGAAAACAGGACGAGGATAACATCGGATGAGGACAAATCGAGAATCTCGGATATTCAGCGCCTCTGAAAGATGTCTCGGGCGCCGCGGCCTTCTCAGAGCGTTCCGGAACGCGGTTAGAGTGTTCTGGAACGCTCTGGAACGGATTTGTCCTCGACCTTGCCCGGTCCGCAAGGATGCAATGATAGCATGAAGTCGCTCATCCTTACCATGCGGGTTGTCTGTGCAGTGGAGGCCAGACCACAAGAAACCTTCTACAAGAAACTCAAGCCTGAGACGACAGGATGCCCAGTGATATTTGGTGTGGGAACGTCGCGCTTTCTATAGCAAATCCATCGATTCCCAAGAAACCCAGGGCACCCTGGAGGCAAGCAGGGTGCTTCTTGGCATGAGTGTCCACTGTGCCAGCCGCAGGCAGCGGTCGGAAAGTGCCTTCTCTATGGGAACCGAAAATGGCATAACCATAAAAACTCTGAGGTCCGCGCGGATTTCTCGGATCGGCGCCAGACCCCCTCCCAGGGGCAGCGCCGGAGGCGCCGCCAGGGGGCTCCAGTGCAAATCCGAGAAGTCCTAGCGGACCTCTGAATGTGTTTGTTCCTGTCACCCTGCGCCCCCCTGAGGCAGCGGTCGGAACAGGCCTTCTCCTCCTCCGAAGCCCACCGCGAGGGCCCCGAACCCGCGAGGGCCCGGAGCCCACCGAGCGCGCCTCCCACCGCCCGCACGCGAGGGCCCCGAGCCTCCAGCTCCTGGGCCACCTGGCTCTGCTGCCTCGCGGCGTCGCCGCCGCCTCGCCCCCCGCTCTCGGGGGGAGGAGGCGGAGGAGGACGAGGAGGGAAGGGAGGAGGAGGAGGAGGAGGAGGAGGAGGAGGAGGAGGAGGAGGAGGAGGAGGAGGAGGAGGAGGAGGAGGAGGAGGAGGAGGAGGGAGGAGGGAGGAGGAGGAGGAGGAGGAGGAGGAGGAGAGAGGAGGAGGAGGAGGAGGAGGAGGAGGAAGGAGGAGGAGGGAGGAGGGAGGAGGAAGGAGGAGGAGGAGGAGGAGGAGGAGGAGGAGGAGGAGGAGGAGGAGGAGAAGGAGGAGGAGGAGGAGGAGGAGGAGGAGGAGGAGGAGGAGGAGGGAGGAGGGAGGAGGAGGAGGAGGAGGAGGAGGAGGAGGAGGAGGAGGGAGGAGGAGGAGAGGAGGAGGAGGAGGAGGAGGGAGGAGGAGGAGGAGGAGAGGAGGAGGAGGAGGAGGAAAAGGAGGAGGAGGAGGAGGAGGAGGAGGAGGAGGAGGAAGAGGCCCCCCTGGAGAGCCCAGAGGCCTCGGCCCTCGAATGAGCGAGGGGAGGGGAGGGGAGGGGAGGGGAGCGAGAGGGCGAGCAGCCGGCGAGAAGCATGTGTGCCCCTCGACCTGCGCCCTCCGCGCGGCAGGTGCCGCCGCGATGCGGCCGCGCCGGCCGCCTCGGCCGCCGCTGCGACCTCGGCAGCGGCCGCGGCCGCGGCCGCGGCAGCGCGGGACCTGCCGCGCGGAAGGTGCGGAAGGTGCAGGTCGAGGCAAGGCAGGACGGGAGGGCTCGCAAGCGCCCCAACCTCGGGTGGCCAACCCCTGGAGCGCGGGGCCCCCGCTCCTGCAGGGCTCGGGCCCCGAGGAGGGCTGCCTGCCGGCACCCAGCGGCGGCGGGCGCCTCTCCGTGGGGAGCACGAAGGTACGCAGATGGCGGAGGCGCCGAAGAAGAACACAAAACGACATGAACACAGCATTTCGAAACTCCGCGGGGATATCTTGAAACTGCGCTGGAACCCCTTGGCGACGCGTCCGGCGCCGCCCCCTGCGCGCTACGCGCGCCAGGGGGGGGTCCGCGCGGACCTCCGAAAGCTTATGCCCCCCCAGCGTCTGCACCTCCAGTTGGGCATGTCCTCCTAGAGGCGGATCTTGGAAGAGCATTGAAACATAGTTAGTCAAAACAGAATCAAAGATAGCCAAACGATAACGAAACATCATAACCTGAGTATTGAACTATTCTTGAATGTTCCTCCTGTAGAGGGACATGCCTCAGAGGGTTCTGGATCGCTTGGGAAAGGAATCTGGCCAAATCCGATCCTCCCCCTTGTCCTCCATCTCCTCCTGCCTCCTCCTAGCAACCGGCACTGCGGGCAATGGTGCTGCGTTGGACGCCGCCATGCCCCTCTAGCCCGGCCTCTGCCAGGCGGGAGGGCGAAGAGGTCAGTCATGGGGCAGGGAATGTTTAGATGGGGTCGGAGTAGATGGGGTCCGAGGATCGCGCCGCACCGCCGATGCATCGGCAACGTCGGCGATGCATCGGCGCCGTCGGTGTGGCGGAAATCAGGCTCCGCTTCGGGTCGCATCGTCGATGCCTCGGCGATGCAGAGCGATCCTCCGACCCCATGTACTCAGACCCCATCCGGAAGGCCTAGAGGTACGCAGGTACAGCGCGGGCGCGTCCGCAAGAAACCATCGCAAGAAACCCAACCCTGAAAACACGCGCGCGAAATGCATCTTAGAGAAAACCCGGAGCACCCTGAACGCACCAGCTTCTTCAACGGCTGCGAGAAGTCACCGCGCAGCGCGTGGAGCGCAAAAGCCAAGGATACACAGACGAATAGCAGATGGTTTCTTGATGCGCGCCCCCACTGTAGGGAAAGCGTCCCCCCCTGAGGCCTGCTAGATGGGGTCCGAGTGAATGGGGTAGGAGGATCGCGCCGCATCGCCGACACATCGGCGATGCATCTGTGACGAACCCGCGATGCATCGTAGACCCCGGCGATGCATCGGCGACGTCGACTCGAAACAAATAGGACCCCACGTCGAGCCGCATCGGCGATGCATCGGCGACGTGGCGCGAACCTCCGACCCATCGGTCCAGGGGGTGCAAACATGGATTAGCGACCCATGGATTTGGCGCGCAGCTCCCCAAGATGCGGCCGGTGCCGCCTCGCTCGGCGGCGGAAATCCGCGATCTCCCACGGGGACCCCCCTGATCCGTGCTTGCGATCGCCTGGCCAATCTGCTCGGACCTCCCACAGGGCAGGCATCCCCCGCCCGCTCTCCCGCCCGGCACAGGCCGGGCTGGAGGGGGCATGGCGGCGTCCACCGCAGCACGACTGCTCGCAGTGCGGGCTGCCATGAGGAGGCAGGAGGGGAAGGTGGCGAAGGGGGGAGAATCGGACTGCGCTAGAACGAGGGGCAGCGATGAGGGAGGGGGTTGGCCAGAACGCGGGGCCAGGGGCAGCGATGAGGGAGGGGGGTTGGCTAGAACGAAGATTCATCCTGTCCAAAAGCGGACCCCCCTGAGGGCAAGCATCCCCCGCCCGCGCCATCTCCCGCGGGAACGGCACCCGTCGATTACCCAAGCCCCCCTGATCCGTGCTTGCGATCGCCTGGCCCATTTGCTCGGACCCCCCGCAGGGCAAGCATCCCCCGCCCGCTCTCTCGAGGATGACTATAGAACGCAGGGAGAACGTCCCCTCCCGCAGGTTAGCCGGCCAGAACGAGGATGCATCCTCTCCAGAGCGGACCCCCCGCAGGGCAAGCATCCCCCGCCCACCATCTCGAGGATGACTCGAACGCAGGGAGAGCGTCCTCCCGCAGGAGGCGCCGGCCAGAACGAGGATGCATCCCTTACAGAGCGGACCCCCCGCACTCGCCATCGCTCGGACGTCCATTCCCTGTTTTTTGTTCGGTTTCGTGCGTGTTTTTTTCGCCAAGTGATCAAGGATGCTCCTCGATGGCCCTCGCCGAAGGAAAAAGACACACGTCCGAGCGGACCCCCCGGCAGGGCAGGCATCCCCCGCCCGCGCCATCTGGCTCCGCCATGGCGCGCGGCTGCCCGCGGCGCCGAGCGGCCGCGGGAGGGCGCGCGGCCCCCACCCTTTGTGGGCCCCGGAAACGGCAAGGCGGTTTTTTTCCCCGTTTCCCCAAAACATGTCCCTTGAAACTGGAAACGGCAAAAAAACGGCGGCCGGAAACGGCAAAAGAACGGCTCCAGGCTTGGAACCGGAGCCGGAACTGGCCAAAAAAACGGCGACGTAACCCGTGAAAAAACAGCGTCGGAACCGGCAAGAAAACGGCAGAACGGAACCGGTAAAAAACCGGCCCTGTCGTGTCCAGGGCCCCCCGCGCGCGCGCCTACGCGGCCCGCATGGCTCCGAGCCTCCGGGGGCGCGGTCGCCGAGCCTCTCTGGGGGGCAGGCGGGCGGCCGCGGGGCGCGGTGGCTGCCCGGGAGCTGCCCACGAGCCCAGGATCCGGTCGGGCCTGTCCTCCTACAGGCGGGCCTCCGAACGAACAACACACACACCCATACCCATACGGGGGTCGTTGGGAGGAGGACTGGCTATGCGGGTTGTCGGACCCTGGGGAACGCTCCCGTTCGAGCGGGGGCCCCCATCCGACAACACGCACCCATAGCCCTTTCCGACCCCCCTATGGGTGTGTGTGTGTGTGTGTGTTGTTGGTTCGTCAAAATAACAGCACAGCCAAGAACTAGTCAAAATACACCAACATAAGCAAACCAAACAAATCCCCTGGGTATGTTTTGGCTACTTTTGAATTTTGTTCCTCCTGTAGAGGGACGTGCCAGACTGAAGCCCAGGACGCACCAGCCTGCAGTCCACCCGTAGAACAAGGGCGCACGATAAGCGAGGGCAGGGGGTCCTCCCCCAGAAGAATCGCCCCGATGCGCGAAGCCGTTGTAGTAAGCGCGCCCACAGGAGGAAGCGAACAGGGCAGGACTGCTCAGTAAACGCCAATTGTCGGGTCCGGCTGTTTTTTTCCCCACTTGAGAGTAGGAGGAGGAGGAGGAGGAGGAGGAGGAGGAGGAGGAGGAGGAGGAGGAGGGGGAGGGGGAGGGGGAGGACGAGGCGGAGGAGGAGGAGGAGGGGGAGGGGAGGAGGAGGAGAGGAGGAGTGGAGGAGGAGGAGGAGGAGGAGGAGGGAGGAGGAGGAGGAGGAGGAGGAGGAGGAGGAGGAGGAGGAGGAGGAGGAGGAGGATGCAAGGGCCTTGGATGGCCATGCCTATACGTTGCGAGCGGGGCGCGCCCCGCGAAAGCGGCCAGGGAGGGGCCGAGCGGGAAGGCTGCACGGGTCACCTCGGAAGGCCGCGCGTCCGCACCGTGCGGGTCAACTGAACCAGCCGCAGGGCAGCGGTCAGGATTCCTGCTGCTCTAAGACGAAAAAAGGACGAGGATAACATCGGATGAGGACAAATCGAGAATCTCGGATATTCAGGGATGGATGGGGGGATGCAAGGGAAAGGATGCAAGGGTAACCCTAGAAGGCCGCTCGTCCGTACCGTGCGGGTTGACCGTACCAGCCGCAGGGCAGCGGTCAGGGTTCCTTCTCTTCTCTACGGCGAAGCCAGGAGGAGGATAACATCGGGCGAGCATTCGTCGACAGTCTCGCGACAGTTACTGCAAGGGTAAGCCTGGAACGTCGCTGCATCCTTATGCTGTGCGGGTCGACTGTCGGAACTGCCCGGGCGATGCCCACAAGCCCAGGAAGCACCGCCCGGGAGCTCTGCGCGCGCCTGTGGCCCACGGGCCGGGAACGCTGCTGCTGCTGCTGCGCACCTGGGGAAACAACAAGCTGAAGGGGCCCTGGGACACACACAAAGACATACACACAAACAAAAAGACCCCCCCTAGTTTCCCATATTTGGGTCGTTTTTGTGTCTTCCCCCCCACTTCCCATGTCTTCCCATATATGTTCTGGGGAGTCGACGACTAGTGGTGCCTGTGTGTGTTTTTCCTCTCCTGACAAGCGGCATGAGCCTGAGCTGTCGGAGCTCCGCACAGAATTCTCTTACCAGCCTGGAACATATCCCTATCCCTTCGGGTCGGGCGAAAGGGGGGGATAGCAAAGGGGGGGTTTGAGAATCAGCTCACGTAGCTGATTTTCCCGGCGCCTCCCGGCGCCGGGAGGCGCCCATGTATCGAGGATGGGCCCATCGGTGAGGCCGAAACCAGCTGCATGCAGCAAATTCCGTAACCCCCCGTTTCCCAATCCCCCCCTTTCGCCCGGCCCGATCCCTATGCTGGGCACCTCCTCACCACGATGCCAATCTTGGGGACTCCCTTTATTTTTTGAGGGCGAATCCCTGAGATTGTCATCGCCTTTTGGCGTGCCAATCTCAGGGAGAGGGATACGTTCGAGGCTGGCTGGGCACCTCCTCATCACGATGCCAATCTTGGGGATTCCCTGATTTTTTGAGGGCGAATCCCTGAGATTGTCATCGCCTTTTTTGGCGTGCCAATCTCAGGGATAGGGATACGTTCGAGGCTGGTAATTCTTGCATCGGCTCCTGGGCCACCCCGCCGGCACCTCCAGCGCCGAAGCCCCCCGGCCCTTGCGCGCTGGAGGGCGGGGCGCCCAGTGACGACCCACGAGCTCCGTGCGGAGTCCCGAGCATCGTGTGCTTCTGCGGTTCGCTGCGCTCCTCGACCGTCCGAAGCGATTGGGGCTCCAGCGGAACACATCGAAAGCCAAATGGCGAGCGCACAGCCGTGCGCCGGTATCAAGGGAGTCCGATCACGCTCAGACCCTTCTTGTTCATGCGTTGGGGATGCCACTGAGCCAGCGTCGTGCCCGAACCCGGCTCGGTATTCAATCGCAGCACGCGGCACTGCGCCAAATCAAGCTGGACGGAGCGGGATTCTGCCAGACTGGGGCGCTTCTCTTACCACAGATATGGCGACTTCTCGTCTGTTCCGTCACTTGCTACACCCCGCTGGATTAAAAAATGGAGGCCGCGGGGATCAAGGAAGGCACGGTTGGCCTCCCGTTGGGCCACGGGGCCCCGGGACAATGTTGGATTCGGGGCCGAGTCGGGAATCCCAAACGCATCTCTCACCCCCTTTTAAATACTATAACGGCCAAGCGGGGTCAGCGTCTGAAAATGCGATTCCGCCTGAGACTTCCGCAACAAAATCATCGGATCGCCTTCCAGGGCGATCTGGAAATTTGCCGCGGCATGTGAAAGTGGCGATTTTGCCTGAGACTTCCGCAGAACAAAAATCATATCCATCTTCATGCCGCTCGAGAGCGGCAATATCGCCTGAATATTCCTCGCATAATATTTTCCGACCGCTTTTCACGCCGCCAGAGAATGGCGATTTCGTTCGGGCTGGCCTAACAACCGCGCGTCTCGCCCACCCCTGCGTCGCAATTCCCCCGTTCGGGTCACGACTCTGGCTGGGAGGTACTTGGGATCGATCGAAGGTCGAAGCTTGATTTTTTTCCGATTGGCGAAGGCCCAGGAGTTGTTTCGTGCCATAGTGCCGATCACCACTTTTTAATCGAGGGGGTGGTTACAGAAAACGCTCGGCGTGGGTAGTCTCCAGCGCCCCGGTTCCGACGCGTGCGCTAGTATTGAGCGTGGGCAAAACATGTAAAAAAGAGACGTGATTCAGCGCGTTGGTGGCGGTCATTACAAAAAACGCTCGGCGTGGACAGTCTCCAGCGTTCCGACGCGCGTGCCAGTGCGAAGCATGGACATAACATGCAAAAGAAACGTGATTCAACGCTCTGGCGGCGGTCAACCCGCTGGATTAAAAAATGGAGACCGCGGGGATCGAAGAAGACACGGTTGGCCTCCCGTTAGGCCCCAAGGCCCCGGGACAATGTTGGATTCGGAACCGAGTCCGGAATCCCAAATGCATCTCTCACCCCCTTTTAAAACTATAACGGCCAAGCGGGGTCACCGTCTGAAAATGTGACTCCGCCTGAGACTTCCGAAACAAAATCATCAGATCGCCTTCCAGGGCGATCTGGAAATTTGCCGCGGCATGTGAAAGTGGCGATTTTGCGTGGGACTTCCGCAGAACAAAAAATCATATCCATCTTTATGCCGCTCGAGAACGGCAATATCTCCTGAATATTCCTCGCATAATATTTTCCGACCGCTTTTCACGCCGCCAGAGAGTGGTGATTTCGTTCGAGCTGTCCTAACAACCGCGCGTCTCGTCCACCCCTGCGTCGCAATTCCTCCGTTCGGGTCACGACTCTGTCTGGGAGTTACTCGGGATCGATCGAAGGTCGAAGCTTGATTTTTTGTCCGATTGGCGAAGACCCAGGGGTTGTTCCGTGCCATAGTGCCGATCACCACATTTTAATCCAGGGGGTGGTATGGTACCCAACTTCCCCCGGCACCGGGGGCATCCCCACTAACAACTCCAACAATGCCGCCTTCAATCGTGGCGCACTTACACCCGTACAAGTCAGGGCATCTCGAAGCTGGGGATCCCGAGGATGTCTCAGGCGAAACGGGCCTGAGCACGTCGCGGACCACGTCTTGAGACCGAGAATGGTGAAAACGCCTCAAGTGAAACGGGCCAGAGCACCCCAATTCTGGGCATCTCGCAGTGGCCCTGGGGTCGGAGGATGTCTCAGGCAAAACAGGTCTCAATACATCGCGAACCACATCTTGGAACCCAAGATGTCTCCGGCGAAACGGGCCAGAGCACCTCGCGAGCCGCATCTTGGAGCCCAAAGGTGTTAGTTGCGACGATGTCTCAAGCCCAGCCGTAGCCGCAGCCGCAGCCGCCTACTCTACAATGGAGAAACTTAAAACATAATCTCTAGTGTTTGCTACACTTTCTAGAGTTCTACACAATGTTCGACTGCTCAGGCGTTCCATTTGATTATTTTACCTTCAGATGCGAGAGGAATATGTTTGAACCTTGGCGATGGCCTGTGCTTCCCAGTTTGTTCTGCCAACCTGCTCGACAACAAACACAGGTTATATGATCATTCCTTTGTCGTGCGAATAGTGTTTGGGCCAAGCCTCGAGGAGCAAACCGATCTCGGCCTCTAGACTGATGCTTTCGAATATACTGAAGCTACTGGTACGCAAGCAACCCCTGTAGCTGCTCTGAATATCGAGATTCAGTCGAAAAACGAAGCATCTGCCAAACAGAAATTGCAAAGTACGAACAGTTATCCGAGTATAGCTCGAGACGAAAACCGATCTCAGGCTTTCGGACAATGTTAACGAAAGCTTATGATGCTGCTGAGCCTGTTCGTCTACATAAAACCTCTGCAGCTGCTCGAAACGTCGAGATCAAGTCGACAAACCGAACATGTGCTCCAAAGCGGACAGAGAACCTCAAGCCAAGGCACCTCGGAGCCTGGGGTTCCGAAGATGTCTCAAGCGAAACGGGCCTCAGCACCTCGCGAAC